AACTCCCCAATCAGCCCTGCTCTGAGCCCGATCAGTGGCTACACCTAGGGGTTGGGGGTGCCCTCTGCCACCCGGGAGCAGGCCTAAGCCAACAGGGCGTTATCTCCTGAGGGGTCCCAGACTGTGAGAGGGCACGGGCCAGGCTGAGGGAGAACCCCTACCGCCTGAGTGCACAAATTTTTGTGCACTGGGCTTCTAGTCCTATATAATAAAAGAGAAACATGCAAATTAACTATCCCTCTGCTATGTTCAAGCCATGCCCACCAGCCACATCCACCAGCCAATCAGGAGCATGTATGCAAATTAACCGAGCTAAGATTGCAGCGACCACAAAGCTGGAGGAAGCAGGAGGCTTGGGTTGCCCCCTGCAATGGAGGAAACCAAGCTTCTTGCCTGTCCTGGCTGGCCCTCCGCTCAGCTCAAGGCTACAAGGTTTTAATTATAGAAGATAAATAAATCCCAGATACCTGTTTCTAGCCAGCCTTGGCCTCTGCTCAAGGAGGGGCTGGCAACCCAGTGTTCCAGCCAGACCTGGGTTTCACTCAAGGCTACAAAGTTTCAATTATAGAAGACAAATAAATCCCAGAAAAAAGAAAAAAAGAAAGGCTGGGAGCTTGGGTGGCTGGGGGGCGTGGCCAGCCTGAAAACAGCCCTCATCCCCTCACCCAGGCTGGCCACACCCCCACGGGTGAGGTTCCCCGCTGGGGGGCTTGGTCAGCCTGTAAACAGCCATCAGCCGCTCACCCAGGCTGGCCAGGCACCCCAGTGGGGACCCCCACCCTGAAGGTGGTGTGGCAGTCTGAAAATGGCCCTCAGCCCCTCACCCAGGCTGGCCAGTCACCCCAGCAGGACCCTGATCCTGATCTTGGACACCCTACAGGGCAAATCAGCTGTCCCCCATCTGTGCACCAGGCCTCTATCCTATATAATAAAAGGGTAATATGCCTAAGCCAGCACGTGGTTATCCCCCGAGGGGTCCCAGACTTCAAGAGGGCACAGGCCAGGCTGAAGGACCCCCCCCCCCCGAGTACACAAATTTTTGTGCACCGGGCCTCTAGTATATAGTATGTTGACAGAGTACCCAGTTTCTGCTTTGGCTTCAGTCTCATACTGGTCAACTTCACACATAAAGGTCCTGTGCCCTTGTAGGATTCATGGAAGACCTTGGGAAAGAAAGCATAAAACTGCACCTGGCTAATTTCACGGCAACATACAAAAGACTCCCCCCGCTCTCACCAAATGGCAAAACTCTTTGTCATACCATATCTCCTCCTTTACCAGGAGATGTAAAGATTTTATCAGAGAAAGCAATTCTCCAATCATGGACAGATAATGAGAGACCTATTCCTCATAACTGTTCAAACTTTCAGGAACACTACTCATATGGCAGAAATTCTCTGAAAGGTAATTCTTGGATACTCCCAAGCCCTCCTAATTCAAGTGAAATAGCATTTGGGGAAACTAAAAATAAAACTTTGCCTTTACCCATCCTGCCACCCCCGCATAACTTGGATCAACATAATCAAAACTGCCTTTATAATAATTAATTCTGAAGAGATGACTTGGTCATGAGGTTGCTGTACCTCCCGCAAATATTCTTGAGAAATTATTTAATAAACTGAAAGCAGGTTTTGATTAAACTTTTGCAGAGTTCTTCAATGTACACATTTGCACATACTGTAATATATTATGTAGGCGATTTTCCAGTATGAGAGTAACCGTCCAGCTTCACATTCTGGCTAAGAATCATATATATACTACTAATAAATTAATAAACTTGGGGTGTTTCAAAAATAAAAAAATAAATCTATAAAAATTACTCAAGAAAAATATAAAATATGAATATTGCTATAATAATTAAAGAGATTGAATTGCTAATTTTCATGGGAGTTAAAAGTTTTTCTTTCTCTTAGATCTCACCTGCCCAGGCTTCCCCCTTCTCCCAGGTGCTTAGAGAAAGCAAGGCTCAGGTCTTAAGGTACTTTCCCCAAAGCACATGACTTTCTAGTGTTGAAACCAGAATTCTCACCCAGGTCATCTCATTCCTGAGCCTTTGTTCTTGGCTAGGCCCATACTCATTTCCATGGAAATAGTAGGAGAAAGGACAGTGCCAGCAGTAATGGCACCATTCCAAATTTCCTGCTGCAGCAGGTGGCCAAACAAAAAGTAAATAAAAAACACTAAACAAAAGCAATCAGAAAGCTTCATCGGGTTTTTAGAAGGAGCCACGAGTTTCTAAGATGCCAGTTGGAAATCTGGAACTTGATATCAGAGCCTCTACATCTCCATCAGAAGGGAGGGGATCACAAATCCTCTTGATGATGCATTCATTCACTCATTCATTCAATAGACATTAATGGAGAGCTTACCATGTGCCAAAATATTTTCCAACAAAACAAAACAAAAATATTAATGGAGTTTATATTCCAAATGTGGAGAGGTAGAAAATGAACTAAATAAGTGAAATATATCAGGTCTTACATGGTGATAAGTACCATGGAGAACAATAAAGCAGGTAAGAAGGAAAGTATAGCAATTCAGATATAATAGTTTGTTTCTGCAGGTTGGAGAAATAAGGGTTACTCGTTTTGTTTGATATCCCACACTTCTCAGAACTTGAGATAAAACGCCCCCACACAGTCTAAGTTGATTTTTGTTCCTCCTATCACTTATTTGTTTTATTTTCTTACAAATTATTAACTTTGCAAGCTATGATGTTGCAAGGGCTTGTCTCAGTCTGCACCTCCCTACCCCCATCCCATTGTAGCAGCTGTCATTTCTATTGACTGCCCACAAAACAGGCTTGTTCTTTGATGATTGTGAGCCTATATTAAGAAAAAAATCCCTTTGATGTTGCTCCTTTTATTTTCTGCTTATCTCAGTGTCTAATTTTTTTTCCTCAAAGAACTGGTCTAACATCACAAGTGTGAATTTGGGAGTCAGAAGAGCCTGAGTTTAATACCTTAGTTTTATAATTTATTAGACACTTTGGCAAATTACTTAATGTCTGAATGGTATGAAATGAATATAATGCTACAGAAACAATCTCAAGTCTTTATCTAGATTGAGAGGTTGGCACCAAAATAAAAATCAATGAAGATGTCTGAGGACTAGGGAAACAAAATGTCAGTATTATGCTACACCAACACTTCTGGTCATTCCTAGTTCAGTTGTCTAGTTTCCTGTTCGTTCTCTGAACCTTTAATATAATTCTAAAAATTCACTTTTGCTTAAATTTTCCTGAGTTGTTTTCTGTTTTTCCTAACTTTTAAATAATTTCAGTAGAAAGATTATATATAATAAAACCAATGATGTACATGGCTACTAGTGCCAGAGCATGAGTTTAAATTTTGGTACCACCACTTAAACTTTCTGGACCATGCCGAAACCAGTTTGGCTCAGTGGATAGAGCGTCAGCCTGCGGACTGAAAGGTCCCAGGTTCGATTCCAGTCAAGGGCATGTACCTGGGTTGTGGGCACATCCCCGGTAGGGGTTGTGCAGGAGGCAGCTGATCGATGTCTCTCTCTCATCGATGTTTCTAACTCTCTATCTCTCTCCCTTCCTCTCTGTAAAAAATCAATAAAATATATTTTAAAAAAAACCTTTCTGGACCTCAATTTCATTATTTGTAGAAAGGAGATAATTAAAAATGGCATCTACATTATAGTTATTGTGGTAAGTGACCAATAAACATTAGGTTTTACTATTGTGTAATTGACTAAACTTTCTTAAATTAAATATTCTTACCCTTGGTCCTTCAATACCATGTTATAAGGAAGAATCCTCTGTAACATATGCTGTTCCCAGACATGTGATTTTATTGTGTTGATTGAATAAGAGCTGCAGAAACTAAGGACCCCAAAAAGGTTAGCTCAGCTTACATTGCATAGGGCCAGGAGCTACTCCTAAGAAATGGTATTTTAAATTGGTTTCAATAAATGTTGGTCTATCAGTCTGAAATCTTTTGAATGTAACAATGTGGTTGGTATAACTGACCAGGGACAACAAGCTTTACTTTGCATTAATTTAAATAAATTAGGTGTGTGTGGTATGAGGGAGGTTCTTCCCTTGATCTGTTCTTGATAGCTTCTCCTGAATCATTCTTTCTTGTCAAATCTCTCAATAATTTCTTTTCTAGGCAATGGTTATCAATATTTTATCTGTTCTCATTTTACCATTGTTTTATGTAATCAAGTCTTCATCACCTACACACATATAGTCAAATATTTGCCCCGAATAGCCCTATGGTTCATAACATTCCCTCTGACCTGCCTCAGAGTTCTAAAGCATTTCCGCATTATTATTTAACTAGTGTGTACTTTGAAAACACTGAGGACCTTTAAACTCTCTCCATTAAGCACTTTGATTTTTGC